ATATATATATATATTTCTCAAACTTTAAGGCAATAGCTTTAAAATTAATTTTAAAATGTTCCTTTTAAGCCGGGTTAAATTTTGTGTCATTACTGCTTACAGTAGCCAAAAAAAATTATACGTTATGCATTTATTGCTTCATTTTTTGACTTACGTATTTATAAAAACGCTGTTTTTCGTTTGCAATTTACTGTCGGCCCCTTATTCTCGAACAGCTTTAATTTTATTGATGAGTATAGGAAATCGCATAATATTCTAATATTAACACTATTAAATTTATAAAATGAATCAGCTTACCTAAAACTTTTTCACATTTAATGCAGCAAGTGCATGTTTCATAGACTGGTTTATAGCCTTGTTTACAATTGATTGAAAAGCCGTTGTCTCCACACTGATTAGTAGCGCACTCAGCTGCTGAGCCAATATGTAAAATAGCAAGAACCAAGACAATAATCTGATACATATACATGCTTGTCTTAAAGATGGTGTCAACCTGTAAAAAAACACAGTACATAACGGAATGGGAAAAAATTAGATAAAGTAGAGAAAATTATGCTCCAGGGAAGCGGAAACTTTACTATAGGTTTCGATCCTAAATCATAATATTCCTCATTGACTAATAGAGTACTCCACTGATGAGCTAAATTGTGAAATAGCAAGAACCAAGAAAATAGCCAGGTTCAGATACATATTTGCCTTAAAGATAATTTCGAACAATAGAAAAAAATAATATATAAAGAAATGAAAGAGAAATAATAAATTAAGTAGGGAAAATAATGTTCTAGTGAAGAGATGCTTTGCTAAATGTTTCGACAATGACATTTTTAACCTTAGAAAACACATTCTTCACTCTAAATCAGGTCAAGCATTTTTAAGTTAAATATTTTTTTATCATTTAAATGTTCAAAATAAACAAATGAAGAAAGTAAAACAAAATGAAATAAAAAAAAGAAAATCTAATAAAAAAATATTTTTACTTGAAATATTAAATATTTTTTAACAATTTGCGCTTTTTTGAACTATCTTTTCGCTAGTGAATTTTATTTAAATGACAAAAACACATTTGTTTAAAAAAATTTACCATTTTCATCAAACAGTACAGGTCAAGTCAAATATTACCTATGCAACAAAGATGTAATATGCATGGATCAAAGTGCGAAATTTCTTTACTGAGTACAAGCCAGACTAAAATTTTTTTTTGCCTATTTTATGTAAGATATAATGAAAAGTCTACATTGCCATCAGATGCACTAAGAAAATTGGTGACCAAAATTATCAGAAAATAAAATTTAAAGAAGAAATAGGTCTATTACTACAAAAACTACCAATATTAGTTTATTAATACTAATATAAGTATACAGAGGTCCACTGAACTTATTTTTTTCTTAAAACTTAGTGTGAACTCAATTTTCGAAAAAATAACAAATCAAATTTGTCTAATATTTTTAAATAGAGAACATATCATAGTGCTGGCATAAACTGGATGGTAGGGCATCTGATCCATGTCCGAGAGGTCGTGAATTCGATACCCGCCTACCGAAGACTCATCGGCCATAGAATGGTGACTGGTGCACGCTAAATCTATCAGGGCAACTAAGTTCTCCAAGTTCCATAACGAATGAATACCTCTGGGGCTTCTGGATCGAAGATTGATCGTGCTCTGTGGATGGATCTGTGGATCATGTGTGAGTGCGTCTATCCAGTAAAAATGGATGAGGTGTATGCATGTTGTTTCCAGTATATTCTCAGGGATGCTTCCTCGACCATCACCAATAGCCGACTGTGTAGCTTCAGGGGGGTGTAAATTAAATGTACTGATACAAGTGCCAGACAACATATCCGGTATATATATAAGATAGATAGAAGATAGATATTTAAAAAAAATAAAATTTTTATTGGAAATTCTTGAAACCCCTTTAATGAAAAGAAATACTAGTTGAAAAAATCCCTCAATATTATAGTATCATTTAGAAATAGTACAAAGTAATGTAACTATGTAGTAATGCAACAAATTTCTCTGTGAATTTATTATTTACCTTAATTCAGATTTAAAATTAACAGATCACAACACAAGCAATGAAAAACTAATTATAAATAACCCTGTAGATATTTGCTAAAAGATAAGAAAGAATTTGATTAAAATTAAGAAATTTAAGTGTTTCGAAATGCTGTAGACTTAGAAGGGTATTAAAAATTCAGAGGCAGACTAGAAATTTGAAATTAATAATTCCTAGCCATTTTCTTCTGGTCTGACATCCATTAATTGGATAAGACGGGAGAAAATAAACAATGATTTTTAGTATACAGTGACAGCAATTTTAAGTAAAGTAGCTAACTTACCTTTCAGGTATATTTGAATCTTCAAATTTCTTTGTAACGGAAACTTAAAAGTTACTCACTATTTATACTAAAGGTCAGACGGAAATACACGTACTGATAATATGCTATTAACGATATCTGAAATTTGCTCAAACACACTTATTCAGAAATTAATTTCCATTGTATTTTTGTGCATGATCACCAGGTAGGAAAAAGCCATATAGCATGAATCTAATCAATTTGGGGCTTAATACTGCTATAAATCATAAATAGATAAATCATAACTGCTTTTTTTTCGTTTGGTCAATAATGAATGTGAGATAAGGCATGAAACATTTTTTTATTCATATCTAAATCTTTCTTCCAATTCTTGACATTCACAAAAATAAATCAATGTAAAATTTTTACTATGCATTTGTGATAATTATAATTATTGATGATATGATAATTATAATATGATAATTATATTATTATGATAATTATATTAATATTATTATGATATGATAATTATAATAATTATAATAATTTCTAAAATTGTAGTTTCCTCAGATATTTTAGAAATCCTGAACCAAATCCTCTTAACCACAAATAATTATGTTTATGTGACGGATTCCGTGTTGGATTTAATAGGCATACCGATTAGATAGCAATTTTTAAAAGGTGCCAAAAAAAATTAAATTACATTTAGTATTTGAAATTTCGATCATTGCAAGGATAAAGGTAATTAAAATGCAACCTTTTTCTTGATCACAATACATTTATTAATTGACTTTGAATAAAAAACTGTAATATTAAATCTGACAATTATCAAGAATTTGACTTAAGAAATGTAGTTTATTTTATGCATGAGTGTTAGAGATAAAGGTTTTCTACTCGTTAGTAATTAATTATTCACTCGCAATTAAATAATTATTCACATTTAGCCACATAATGAATTTTTTGTTACTAAATGATTATTAATTCCTTACTAAATAATTCACATGATAGGTCTTATGAAACTCAACGCACAGAGTTGTATTCAAAGTTAATTTCCCGATCAAATTTGTAAAAATGTCTAAATAAAGTAAGATTCGATAGTTGTGGTACGAAAAGTAAATGTACTATGGTATTATTTAATCCATTTCTTTAAAAATATTTAGTAAACAAGGTGTATTGAAATCACCATAGATACTTTCATAATTATCTTCAAAAAGGAAGTAAAAAAAAGCAAATTCTTTTGGTGTCGCATTTTAATATCTACGGAAAAACAAAAACGCTATCAAAATCAGATGAATAGCTACTGATGGAGCCGAAACCAGTTTCATTGTCTGAGGAAATATAGAGAAGTTGCCAGGTGAGTATTATGCATTCTTCGAAGTATCACCAGCCAATCAGTTGTTTTTTTTTCTTCCTGCTTTTTTGTGAGTTGAAATACATTTCATCATTATCATCATCATAGTTGGCAAGACACCCCAATCTGAGCCAATGTCTTCCTCTGAAGATTTCTATATGACGACATCTGATTTACTTTGATCTCCTTTTCTTTTCATCAATTGCGATAAAATCAGACTCCACTGAGTCAGCCCATCTTAACCGCGGCCTTCTCCGCTTTCTCCTTCCAGTGGGTCTAAAAAGCAATACTTTTTTATTGTATTGTCATCACTCATTCGAATCACGTGGGAAATACATTTCTATCAATGTATTACAATACAATTCAAAATTTTTCAAATTTCGATCATTTTCTAATAAATTTAATTTATTTCTTATAAAGTTGGTAAATTTGAAAAATAAGTCTTTCGACCATAAATATTGAATTACGAATTAACGAACGAATTACGAGCTACAATGTACGATTTCTTTACTTCACTTCACAAGGATTCAAAAAAGGCGAGCGTAATTGAACAAATTGCATGTAATATTTAATCAATTGTTGCGATAATTATGTACTTTTCCAACTATCACCAGGCAATCAAACTGTTCCTATCCTTTTAAAAACTACAAATTTTTCAAATGTCGATAAATTTTTGCTTCTATCTCACATAAATATTCATTTACGAATCAACTAATCTAAGCTACATAGTACGACTTTTTCACATCACTTTTAACAAGAATTCTAAAAAGCGAGGGGTATGGAACACCCTATGTAACTATGTTTTAGCAATTGTTGCGATTATTATGTACTCTTCCAAGCATTACCTAGCAATCAAATGGTTCTTATCCTTTTTGGTGAAGTGAAATACTACTAATTTTACCAATATCAATACATTTCTGTTTCTTTCTCTCATAAATATTGAATCAAAACTATGCAATGTACGGTTTCTTTATTGCAATTTCTACAAGGATTCTAAAAAGGCAATGATTGTGTATCACATTGCATGTAACTATGTTTTTCTTTGAGATTTGAAATACTTAGTGCTAATTCTTCAAGTTTTGATAAATTTCTGTTTCTTTCTCACATTATTGAATTGCGAATCTATGAATCTACGCTTCAGTATGTGATTTCTTCACTTTTTAGAATGATTCTGAAAGTGCGTGGAACTAAATTAATTAAATTATGAAAAATTTGGTTTAAGAAAAAGCTATAGAAATTAAGTTGAATATTCGACCCTTCAATAAAAAATTTTAAAATAAAATAAAGTTACAATCGTAGAATTTGCTTCAATTCTTAATTATGTATATGAATTTGTTAAAAATATTGAAATTTACGTGCAAAAAGAGAAAATGAAACAAAATATGAAAAAACCGCGAATTTTAAATTAAATTTATTGAATTTTATATGTAATTAAACTTCAACAATAACAGACAATTGGTGTACACTTGTGTGAACTAGCAAATTCTAAATCAATTGATAAATAGGAAAGCATCATGTCATGTTAAGGGTAGAAAGACTGGATAGAAAGCATCATGTCATGTAATATATTCCTTTTATATAATTTCCCCCTTTTTATACTTATCTGAAACGAATTTATTCACGAATTCAATTTGTCATATTCCATTTGTCATATTCCTAAGATAATACTTTCAAATGAATCATGGTGTGTACTGTCATGCTAAAATATGCATAGCATATTTCTTAACGTTTAAAAACTAAAAAAGTATTCTCCAAAATATCGCCATACAAATGGTCAACCTATTTCGAAAGTTTTATTTCCATAGTCTAGTTTTCATCCAAATTTCAACAATTTAGTTAGTAATTTCCCATAAGGT